CTTTCTTGACAATCTTTTCTTCCTTGCCTTTCATGGCTTTACCTTCTCCTGGATTCCTCAAATCTCTGACAATTCTTTCAAAGCCTTTGCCCCTCCCTTAAACTCTATTTGCAAGGCTCTCTCCTATCACTTCATTTCTCTGCTGATGAAATGCAAATTCTGGGCCATGGGCCACCTGGGGTTGTGAAGGTCAGTCACTGCACAATGGCGCCAGGCCAAGGGGGCAAGCAGGGGCGAAATCCATTCTGCTCTCTGCTTACCAAGCTGTACACCCACATGGCTCCCCAGATTCCCATCTCTAGCCCAGATGTCCCCAGAGTCACAGACCCACCCATCCAAACACATGCCGGCCATCTTGCCCTGAATGCCCCCCAAGGAACCATACGCTTGACATGGATTCATCTTCTTTCTTCTAAACCCATTCCTCCTTGGTGTCCCCTATTCTCACAGCATGGCTCCAGCACACCAGGCAGAAATCTTGGAGGAATCCGAGCATTCTTCCTTCCCTGACCTGCCACCCCCTGTCTGACAGACTCTACCTCCTCCTCTGCAGCCACAGCTGTCGACGTGGTGTTGACCTCATTACTTCTCTTCTCATTTGGTCTGCCGGGCTCTATGCTCACCGTCCTTAAATCCTTCACTCCGCTGCACAAGCAATCTTGTCACAATCTTCTGATCATGTCATGCCACTGCTTTGAATCCTTCCAGAGCTTCCCACTGTCCCCAGGGCAAAGTGCCAACTCCTGAAAATGCCTCCTGGGCTCTTTTATGTGGGGCTCAGACTCCCAACCCCTCTCTCACCTCTTGGTTCCTTACAGTGCCAAACACACCAGCTGTTCTCTTGCTGTCTTGCCTTTGTTCATGCTGGGACTCAGCGTGGAATCCCCCAATCAAGGGCCCATCCTCGCAGTCTTGTTTGATACCCAGATAAAGTTGACAACTCCCTTCCTTGAGCCCCCAGGTTTCCATGCTAACATCTACAATGCTAATTGGTTTCTAGGTTTCTCTGTCTCCAGTAGAACTGCCATCTTGGAAGGAAGAGACAGCCTCTCCTTTGACTTTGTGCTCATTTTGGCCAGCACTGTGACAATCCTCATCCACAAAACCCTAAATGGATTTGAAAATAAGCAGATTAGGCTGCACAAGGTAATACAAATGTAAATTGGTCTTTAAACCAGTTATATTTGTATGTGGTGTAAAAACGGGGACAGAACACCTATTGTGCCCAAACCCTTTGTGAAAGAGGCAATTGGGGATCAAGGGAGACTAGAAGTATCTGGAAGAAAGGCAGCCAGATGAGAAGAGGAGAGGACTGGCCTGTGGCAGCTGAGAGCAGGGGCTCTGCTTCCTGGGCAGCAGTGCAGGCTCCGGCCGGAGTCATAGGCTCCCGGGAGAGACCCAAGAGTTGGGGCAGAAAGGCAGACGCAGCTGGCCCACCAGGAGGAGAGACAAACCCAAATGCCTCCAGGAGTCAGGGGTCAGATAAAAGCCAGTGCGAGAACAGCTAGCAGCTAGTCTAATAGGTACTTTCCTGCAGAAAGGCAGTCAGATTCAAAAATCTGAACAGCAGCTCAGCAGCCAAACAAAACTGGTCTAAGAAAGGATTCAGGAGGAGAATCAGAAAGACAGCCAGGCTTCCCATTCCCTCAGACTAAGGAACAAAATCCTTAACGTGATGCTCCGGGTCTGCACGATCCCTCCAAACATGACAACTATGCTGTCAGGAAGGCATTTCCCATCGGTAACCCCTTCCTCAATCTTCCCATTTCAGTGGAAGGGTACCTCCTCCTCCGGGGAGCCTCCCCTGAACTCCCAGGGTCTCTCTGGGACATGCTCTCAAAACACCCTGGATGACTCCTTCATGGCCATGCTCATGACTGTAATGGAATATGTATTCATTTAAAGTCTGCTTCCACTATAAGAAGGTAAGTGGTTTGAGGGCAGAGATGGTTTCTTTTTTCTTATTATATCCCCAGCATCCAACAGTCAGCCTGGGACATATCTGAGGCCCCAAAAATGTTTGTCGAATGAATGAGTCAATCAAACGGATGAAGAATGAATAAAACCAGCACGTGTCTAGAATGCAAGACCAAGGAGCCGGGATTACCCTGAGTGTAACAGAGAAGGAGGGGAAGTGAAAGTTGGGCCAGTCCCTCTAGAGAAGAGAGAGAGCCCAGAGCAAGGGGTGGCAGCCAGAATGGCTGCTAGCCCACCCCAGCCCACCCCAACATCATACGGCCTGTGAACTCCTGAACTAAGATCAATGTTTACATTTTTTTTTTTGTGAGGAAGATTAGCCCTGAGCTAACATCTGTTGCCAATCCTCCTCTTTTTGCTGAGGAAGACTGGTCCTGGGCTATCATCCTTGCCCATCTTCTTCTACTTTATATGGGACGCTGCCACAGCACAGCTTGATAAGCAGTGCATAGGTCCACGCCCAGGATCCAAACCTGTAAGCCCCAGGTTGCTGAAGCAGAGAGTGTGAGCTTAACCCCTACCCCACCGGGCCGGCCCCTGAATTTTACATTTTTTAAATGGTTGGAAAAGAATTAAAAGAAGGAGAATATTTCATGACACGGAAAAGTTATTTGAAATTTACATGTCAGTGTCCATGAATAAAGTTTTATTGCAACATAGCCACACTCATTGGTTTACATATCATCTATGGCTGCTTTCATACTCCACTGGTAGAGTTGAGCAGCTGTGACAGGGACCATATGAGCCTCAAAGCCTAAAATATTTACTACTTGGCCATTTACAGAAAAAGCGTGCCAACCACTGGCCAAGAGTCTCTTGGGATCACTATATCCCAGGACCCACAAGAAAGTCCCGACCCAGGAGCATATGCTAAAGTCTGGGCCTCAGAAAAAAGCTGCCAGACGCTGTTACTGGAAAATGGGATTTAAATACCCCCTTAATGAAGAGGGGGCTAGTTAAATTAATGGTGGCATACACTCGCAATGGACTGTTACACAGCTACGTTACAAAATGAGTTAGACTGAAATGTACAGCGTAGAAAGACGACCACAATACACTGCCCAGGCAATTTATAGAACAAGGATAGTATTTTCCAATTTATTAAAAAGAATAACCACACACACGTTTAGAAAGTGAGAGAATACGAACATCTGGAAGGATATACATGATAAATAGCTCTAGGGAATGGGACCAAGGATTTTTACTTTCTCTTTTCATTCATTCATTCATTCATTCATTCATTCATTTATTTATTTATGGTGAGGAAGATTGGCCCTGAGCTAACATCTGTTGCCAATCTTCCTCTTTTTTTGCTGAGGAAGACTGACTCTGAGCTAATATCTGTGCCCATCTTCCTCCACTTTGTATGTGGGATGCCACCGCAGCACGGCTCGATGAGCGGTGTGTTGGTCCGCACCTGGGATCCAAACCTGACAACCCTGAGCCGCTGAAGCGGAGCATGCGAACTCAACCACTATGCCCCTGGGCCAGCCCTACTTTTTATTTTAAACACTTGTACTCCCTGAATTTTTTTTTTCAACCAAGAATATACTTTTCTCTAATTTTAAAAAAGAATAAACAAAAATGCTGATTTTAGAAAGCTACTTTTACCCTCATGTGCCTTTGCAAAAGACTGTCTAGTTCAGGACATGAATGGATCCGAATTCTTGCTGATCTCAGGATCATATGGTCCGATTTCTGCATTTTACAGATGGGGAGCTGCACATAAACACACTCCCCGCTGAAACTTCAAAGTCTGATAACAGTGCAAAGCTGCTCATGTGTTTGTTTTGAGGAAGCTTAAGATTAGAACAGTCAGAAATAGTCCTACTTCCCTTTTCCTAGAAACCCCGGTTACCTCTTCAACTGGAACACCCGCCTCGAGCCCGCAGAAGGCCAGGTTGCCAGGGGATATGAACAAACTCAGAGTGGCAGCTGTTAGCTGCTTTCTCTGTTGCTCCCTCTAAACACAGCTGGCTCTCCCGTCACCAGGACCCCTCCGAGTGCAGGCTCATAATCATCAGCCATCTTAATGGTCCTGCTGGGTGGGAAGAGGCGGCCATGAGTCAGGTGGGCACAGACGAGGGAAGTGAGAAGCCAACGCTGAGCCAACAGATGGATTTGGGTAGAATCTCACATTCCGCCTTGACACACACACCTATGATTGCTATCAAATCTGACTTTCCATGTTTCCATTCTCTCCATTCTCTCATGGCAATTTCCTTGGGGAGTCATGGAGGTTTTGCTCCACCCTGCCCTGCCCTGCCCAAGACCACGGCCTGCAGTACTGCTCTGCTCACCTTATTCTAGAACCTGCCACTCCTCCTCTGCAAACTTTCTCCTACCTTCCCGCAGGTCACCCTACAACCTACACCCTGGATCCCAGAGTCATTGTAAAGGCCCAGGAAGCCCATAATAATTGAGGGCATGGAGGTGCAATCCTAATTCAACTCAGAAATGCATATGGAACCTGTGTCATCTGTTAGAATAAATAATCCATAAGCAGCCCCAGCATTTCCCAAAGAACAATCCAAAAAACGCCAGCCAGTGAGATCTTTCAGGGAAGAGAAAGAGATGTGGTGGTGAAATTCGGAAAACCTCACACTGGCAACGCCTGTCTGGGAGCTTCTGTAACATGAGCACATTCAAAATTCCAAGAAATCATGCAGGAGCTAAACCTGTTCAACTCGATTTAAACCAGCTGTTGACCAGAAAACCTTCTGAGATCTCGATTTGGAAAACACCGTTCTACACCATGAGGCTGGGTTCAACAACGATGTGAAGGGTGGTGGTGAGGTTCCAGGGATGCCCCCAACCTTGAAGGGCAGCCTTCCCAAACCAGGCTCGGACTCCCACCTCCCAGACCCACCCAGTGGGGAAAGCAGCCTCTGAGGTTGATTTCTGAAGAAAAAGTCTAAAAATCGGGAGGTGGAGAAGGGAGGTGAAAACTGCCCCTCCAGAGAGACAGAAACCGGTGGGGGGTGGGGAGGCTGGTGCAGGACGCTCCCCAGAGCGGGACTCACCATTGGTGGCCGTGTTGACATAGTAACGCCGGCCCTGAGGAGACAAGTAGCTTTGCCAGCCAGGTGGAAGAACGACAGTCTGGCTTTCCTCTCCCGGCGGAGGGGGGACCATTCCAGGCTTCTGTTGAGGAGGAAAGAAAAGGTCACACACATTTCGCATTTTTGCAATTGCTTTTCAACCAGGAAGTCAGAGGCAGAAGAAGTCACTGTGGAATAGCTCGACATTAGGGAGGGTGTGGCCCAGGGGCCTCCCTGGGGGAGGTCACGGGCCACACGTGTGTGATTCCGGGGGTTGCCTGAGTGTGAGGTGTGAGGAGAACTTGCTTTTTCAGAGCCACCGCAGAAGGGACAGCTTCCCCTAGAGCACAGAGGGGAAGCCAGCCAGTTAACAGAGCTGGACTTTCTCCTCGTCAGCTCCTAGAAAACCACTCACAGGGGTGCTGCACTTATGGGGGGGCCTGTCACTCCACGAGCTCCCGCTGTGGCATCTCAAGCCTGAAATCCCCAGGACCACCGAGCACAGCCCAGGGCCTGCTGTGAGAACCTACCAGAAGTAATTAATGCAAATCTCAGCAGAGCAAGACATAAAACCTTCCATAATAACGCTGAGAACTGATGAAGAGCTAGGTGGGGTTTTTCTCATCAAGTGTCCAAATCACTCTGACAAAGAGGCCTGGGACTCTGAGGCAAAACAGACTTCCTTTTCATTATATGTGCTTATGTGTGGTTTAATTCTTTTAACCACACACAGAAGTACTTTTCTTAAAATTATAAATCACAGAAAAATATATATAACATAGAGAAACCAGGTGTAGACACAGATGCTAAGACAGGTGATTTCCAGTGATGGGATTATGGGCAATTTTTATTCTCTTCCTTTTACTTATCTCTTCCATCTAAATTTTCTTCAATAAACACAGAAATAAAAGTTCTTAGCTAAAGAACACTTAAAAATAAGGAAAGAAGGTCTAAATCAGCCCACACAGTTGCTGTGCCTTGTGAAGCAAGTAGTTTGACTTAAATCAGGATTCTAGCCACAGGAGGAGAGGGGCCGTGAATTTCTCAGCAAAGCTGGACCCAACTCAGAAATATTAAAACTAATCAGCTCCTAAATATTCTCAGCTTCCCCCAGCCATGCCTGCAGAGGCGGTTTTTGGTCACTGATGGCCACTGTTTAGGAAGACAAGATAATAGATTGAAAGCGAGCCGTATAGATACACGGCTCCAGGCAGCTCTCAGCTTTCTGAAGGCTGCAAAACCATGTGCTCCCACTTCCTGTGGTGCGCTGCATGCCCTGAGTGGGGGTGGGATCTATCCTAGCTGCTCCCAGGACTCTGAGTAAACACAGCCTCCCCGTGGCCCTCCGTGTAGCCACAGTGTATGTTTCAATATGAATTTTCACAATTTAATTAAAAGCTTTCCCTTATGCCCTGAACACTCTGTCTCCCACACCTGTTAACCGACAGCAACTCGCTGGTTCAGTATGGAAGGATGGCTTCTAACCTGCCAGGGGCTGGTGACATGGACAGCAGCTGGCAGCCTTCTCACCAGCAGAGCACGTCCATTGAGCCCAAGCACACCTGAGCAGTTTACCTGGGCCTCCAGACACTGCTCAGGCCTCTTCCAGATTGGAAAGTGGTCAAAATACATGCAAGACAAATAGCCTTATGATGAGTACAGAGTGTGTGTGTGTGTAAAATATTCCACATACAGGAGACAGACATTTTGGTTGAGTGGGGTTGGGAGTGAAGTAGGAGTAGGGAGGTCAGGAGGTTTGGCCAAAGAGAGTAATATTCTAGAACCAGAAGGGTGAGATGCCAGGCTGTTTCTGCTGGAGTCAGAGATCTTAGAGCATCAAAGATGGGAAGGCCATAAAAGTGCTTCTCTGAATAACCTGGGAGGAAATGGGAAATTGCTAAAGAGTCTTAAGCAAGAGTCAGAGATTGACATGGCCAGAAATAGGTTGCTGAGGAGAGAGGGACCCAGAAGCACAGTGGAAACAGCCCTCTGGCCTCGGGATCAATTCTGACTCAGCCACTTAGGAGCCACGTGACCCAGGGAAATGACTCAACCAGCTGCATCTATTTCCACATCTATAAAACGGAAGATGATAGTACAAGCCCAGTTGTGGAAGATGCCGTAGAGATTAACAGTAACAAACTCAGCACCTAGGACAGTGCCTGTCGCCAAGAATGCTCAATAAATGGGGGTTCCCAGCAGAAGGGGGGTCATTTAAATGCCAAGCGACATCAGGCTTCACACAGCCTCTGCCCACTGCAATGTGAAGTTCAGGGGCCCATACTCCGGCCCTCACCCCAACTTCGCCATCACCGTGTCTGAAATGTCACCATTAACAGTCACTTCTCCAAGGTTTCTGTTCCCAAGACTGCCCAACTTAATAGGCAAACACAGACCACTGGGGAGCTAACGCGTTAGGATACTGACTAATACGTTCTGGTGAGAAGGACGGCAGCGAGGAGACCTCTCCTGAGCTGGGCTGGTTGAGTGAGTGGACAGAACCTTCTGACTCTCCGTGCCCGACCTGTGAAGCAGCAACAATGATGCCTGTCCTATCTCCTGAGTTGCATGGTGTTTTTCTCTTTAGAATGACTCCAGTTAATTTATCTAACTCTGTGGGGTCAGAATAAGCCTTGGTTTACATTTGAGGACACTGATGACCAACGAGGCACCATAACTGCTCTGAAGTCTCCCCCATCTAGGAAAAGCAGGACCCACTGTGCGTGAACTCTATGGAAGGCGCCTGGGGGGAGGCCAGATAGAGCCGAGAAGTGCTGAAAGAGGGGAGGAGGAGGGCACCCGGGACAACTTGGCCTACTTCCTAACTTGGCCCACGTGGCAAAGGCGGTCTCTACATCCCCCTCCAGCACAGCCACAGGTCCCGCTCTGTCTGCCATCTGACTGTGCTCTGCCTCCATCCCCCAGGCAGCCAAGGTCTCCTTGTTTTTCCCCTCCCAGAAGAAAGCTCCTGCTGTTGGCCGGCCTGAAACAAGTCAGGAGTCAAAAGACATGGAGACAACTGGGTACACCCCCAAAAGAATTAGAAACAGCGCTCAAACACTTATACACCCTTGTTCACAGCAACATTATCTACAGTAGCCAAAAGGCAGAAACAACCCAAGTGTCCATCAACTGATGAACAAAAGGTGGTATATCCAAAGGAATATTCAGACATCAAAAGGAATGAAGTACTTATGCGTGCTACAACATGGATGAACCTTAAAACATGTAAATGAAATAAGCTAGACACAAAAAAAGCCACACATTGTATGATTCCGTTCATATGAAATGTCCAGAACAGGAAAATCCATAGAAACAGAAAGATTAGTGGTTGTCAGGGGCTGGTGGGTGGAGGGAGGAGATGGGTACAGGGTTTCCTTTTTGGGGTGATGAAAATGTTCTGGAACTAGATAGTGATGATGGTTGCACAATACTGTGGATGTATAAATGTCACTGATAGATTTTATGTTAGGTGTATTTTACCACAATAAAAAAAATTTTTTTGAGATGTAGAGAAGCCAAAAGTTGGCCTCCCCACCTGCCAGCTCTCAGTTAAGAAGCCCAAACCACCAACATTACCTCATCTTTCATGGCCGTGGAGGGCTAGGCCTCCTGGGAGAGCTGCCCCACAGCCATCAAGAGGATATAGCGTGAGTAACTACCCAATAATTAAGGTCTCTGCCAAACTTATTCTTCTAATTAGTTTCCTTCCAAGTTAAACCCTACTCTTCCCTTCCCTAGTCCTGTGGCTTCTTCCCTTCCATTCCATCAGCTCTTTCCCATGGGAATAGGAACTAGAAGCAGAGGTGACACAGGCCCAGAGGATCGGGGCCCTACCTACAATGAACAAGATCAGAGGGAGCGGGAGTAAGGGAGATGAAGACAGTTTCCTCCAACTCAGAAATTCTTAAGTTAATGCACAGGACAGCTTTGTGGGAATTATAAAACGCTGCCTCTTCCTCCAGATGGGCTATCCCCTGAGCGCAAGACTGGGTTTCAGCCTCCCTTGGCCCCCTCATCTGGGTCCCCTTGTTCAGTAAACAACCTGTTCACTCATATATGGAAGCCCATCCTCTGAGAATCTGAAGAAAACCACAGATCTCTGCCCCCCAAAATGGAGGTACGTGTGCACATCCATACTCACCCTGTTTCCTATAGAATATCAAGAGGTTTCTAGAGCACTTCAGAACCCCAGTCTAGAGGGTACTCAAGAAACATCTGAGCTCAGATCCCATTTGCACCCATCAATAAAGACTCCTACCACTCACCAAACGTCTACAGTGCACCAAGGACTGGGCCAGGTGCCCTACACACTCATCTCTGATCTTTACAACAAGCCTGCCACATCAACGGCATCTTTTCCCATTTTAAAATGAGGAATCTGAGACTCAGAGAGTTTAACTCATCCAACATTGAACAGCTAATTAAATGGTAAAACTAAACTTTAAAATAGTAGCTTTGTTCTAGAGACTTTTGTCCAATTACCTAAATGAAGGCCACTCTCAGCCCACCTCACCCCAGCTATCCACGGTCAACCCCATTTCTTCACCTGGACCACCTGACACCCAGCTCCCATCCAAGGAGGATGACAACCCAGGCCTGATTCTCCTGCCTGTCTCACAGTCTCTAAATGAGCATATGCCTTCCCAGGAGACGTGCAGAAATATCACCACCCACATCCAAGCAGTCACGTTCCCTGGCTGTAGGCTGACTTTCTTGTCTCCTTATTTAAAACAACATAACCAAAGAAATTTTCCTCTATTAATGATGGCTACTGATTCCCCCTGGGGGAAAAAAATGAGCAGGCAAGCAAAGGGAAGTCACTCAGAAATTAAAAACAAATCCTCCTACAGCAGTGTTTCTCAAAGTGTGGTCCCTGGGACACCCCATCAGTCACCTGGGATGTGGGTTAAAGTGCAGATTCTGGGATCCTGATCCAAATACCAGATCAACTCAGAGCCTGGGAAGCTCCCTTTTAACATGTATCCTAGGTGAGTCTTATGCTCAATGAACTCAGAAGAGACTGGTTTATAGCTTCAGAGTGAGCAATTGAGAGAAAGCATCACTTCTTAAATCAAAACTGGGAGCATAAAATTTTAATAA